CAAATGGGAAAGGCGACAACAGTGAAGGGCCCGCGTACCTCAAAAGAAAAAAAAAAAAAAAAAAAAGGACATTTGGATGAAAAGAGACTAAGATTTCAGGGAAATTAAACTTAAAACCGCAATGAGATACTACCACATGCATATAAGAACAACAAAAATGAGAAAGATGAAAAATATCAAATTGTCTAATGCATAGTAACTGTGATTATCTTTTAATTTTTATAATTAGTATCTTCACATTTTTATTAAATAAATATGGTCTGTATATGCAAAAATGCCTACTAAAGCATAGTTTCCACCTATCATCACCCAACATAGGCTGACATAGTTCAACAAATGTCTCTTTCTTCTTCCTAAGTATATTGGCTAGGAGTGTGGGCTATGGAGACAGACCAGGTCCAAACCATTGTTCTACCATTTATAAATGGTATGAATTTGAGCACTTTTACTTCACCTCATAGTCACTCAATTGCCTCATCTGCAAAACAGCAATTATACAGTACTGACCATAGAAGAAAGAAGTTCAAAGCAAAAATATTGCCTTGTATTTTGGTTTCTACAAGGAATAAATGATCAGGAATCACACAATTTTTAAAATTCTACTGCAGAGACACTGGGATAGCTGGTTCTCTCTGAACCCTGGGAGAATGAAAGAACCTCTATGTGCCTCAGTTTCATCTTCTGTAAGATGAGGAAAACAACTGTCCTTACCTCATGGGTTGTTGTTTTGAGAATAAATTGAGTTAATACATGCAAACTCTTTGAACGGTGTGAGGCACACAATATCAGCTCAATAAATGCTAGAATTTTCATAAGTACATGCAAGTTTTGATAGTTTTATAAAAAGTTTTCATGTGTCTTTAATAAAGCTTGTCATTTGGGACTCAGGTCAAATAAAACTTCCTGAGAAAGAGCTTCACTGACAACCCTGTCTACAATAATCCCTGTCCTCGTCATTTTCTACTGAATGGATTTTATTTTGTTGCAAGCATTTATTCCCATATAAAATGGTCCTGCTTACTGATTTGTTTCCCTGCTTATTGACAGTTTCCCCAAACTAGAATAAAAGCTCCAGGGATACTGTCCTGTCTTGTTCACTGTGTTGCATCCCCAGGGACTAGCTCAGTGAGTGTTATGAGTTGAAATATGTCACCCCAAAAAAGATATGTTGAAGTCTTAACCCCCAGTACCTCAGAACATAACCTTACTTGGAACTATGGGTGTTTCAGATGTAGTTAGTTAAGATGAGGTCATACTGGAGTAGGGTGGCCCCTAAACCAATGTGACTGGTGTCCTGATAAGAAGACAGCCACATGAAGACAGAAGAACAGGGATAACACCATGTGATGATGCAGGCAGAGGTTGGAGTTACGCAGGGCCAAGCCAAGAAATGCAAAGATTGTCAGCAAACCACCAGAAGCTAGAAGCACAGATAGATTCCCCAACTGGTTTCAGAGGGAGCATGGCCCTGGTGATACCTTGATTTCAGGCTTCTTGCCTCCAGAACTGTGAGACAATACATTTCTATTGTTTAAGCCACCCAGCTTGTGGTACTTTGCCATGGCAGCCTTAGGAAACTACTGTAGTCCCTCCCATATAAAACACTGAATAAGTATTACTGAAAAGAAAGAATTGTTCCCTTTTTTACCTACTGGATCAAATGCAGGTACTTAAAGCTGAGTTGCAGGAGAAGTTGATGCCAAAATGACGCATTAAAGGATTCAAAATTTTAACACCACCTTCTTGCAAATCCACAGCAGTGCTTTTCAAACTTGGATGATAACACAACCAACAAGAGAAATTATTCAACACGTACACACCTCCCAAACCACCTCCCTATTTTAGATACAGAAGACCTAGGATGAGCCCAGGAATCTGCTGTTTCAACAAGCAGCCCTGGACAATTTTGATGAAGTTGTCCATCGACCACACTTGGAAAAATCCTGACCTACACATCTGACGTTGGTGTACTATTAATTTAATGTCTACCATACAAAGTTCTGTGATAGCTGGTGTGTCTCTGTTAATGTAATTTACTCAAAAGTGCACTGGTCCTCCCCTCCCACCTACAACCACACATTGCTTTCCCATAGGGGATCACAATTAAGCTCCTTTGGATTTTTTTTTGCCATGCCATGTGGCTTGTGGGATCTTAGTTCCCCCGACCAGGGATTGAACCCAGGCCCTCGGCAGTGAAAGTGCAGAGTCCTAACCACTGAACCGCCAGGGAATTCTCTCCTTTGGACTTTATCTACAACATCAGCTCCTCGTGACTCACCAGCACACTACATTCAGACTACAACTAAAACTGTTTCCTGAGTCTCCAGCCTGCCGGCTTTCCCCATTAGACTCCACAAAGCCTCCACAAATTAATGAGTCAATTCCTAAACATCCTACTGGTTCTCTTTGAGAACCCTGACTAATACAGGTATTAAGAATCAAGTATCTTTTCCATCTTAGAGTAACCTGTGCTTTCAAGCAAAAAGATTCCCCAGCAACATTTGGCTACTGACAGTTCAGTGAAAATATAATACCTAGAAACTGTAATAAAAATATTCCCATGACAATAACATCAAAAAGTACAAACTACCTAGAGATAACCTATGTTGCACATCCATGTCCACAAATGTGCAAGGCCTAAACTCTGAACGCTGCAAAACATTGCTGAGAAAAATTAAATCAGGACTAAATAAATGAAGGGATATACCATCCTCCTAGATCAGAAGACTCAGTGTTGTTAAGATGTCTATTCTCCCCAAACTGATCTATAGATTCCTTGCAATCCCAATAAAAATCCTAGTGTGGGACTTCCCTGGTGGTGCAGTGGTTAAGAATCCACCTGCCAATGCAGGGGACATGGGTTCGATCCCTGGTCCAGGAAGATCCCATGTGCTGCAGAGCAACTAAGCCTGTGTGCTATAACTACTGAGCCTGCGCTCTAGAGCCCACGAGCCACAACTACTGAGCTCACGCGCTCTAGGGCCCACATACCACAACTACTGAGCCTGCGTGCTGCAACTACTGAAGCTCACGCACCTAGAGCCCATGCTCCGCAAAAAGAGAAGCCATGCAATGAGAAGCCTGCGCACCGCAACGAAGAGTAGCCCCCACTTGCCGCAACTAGAGAAAGCCTGCATGCAGCAACGAAGACATTTTACAGAGGGGGAAGCTGAAGCTCAGAGAGAGTCGTTACCTGTCTCACCTATCGCGCTCCTACCTTTAGAAGGAAAGTGGCAAGAGGACACCCCTGGAGCAGGACACCGCACCCACTGGGGCCGGGCAGGACCCCAATGGCTTTGCCTACGAGACAGCCCGGGCACCGAGCCCCCAAAGCGGGAAAGAAGTGACCTGGATGTGGATCCCTTTGTCTCCCCACACTGCAGCATGGTCCAGCCCCCACCGCGGGTACCCACTCTCCCAACTCAGTTCCAAACACCTGAAGGAGAAACCTACTCTCCTTGCCAGGGCGCTTCTGTCTCCATTAAAAAGTCGTCAAGGTCGCCTTATTGACGTCACGTTTCTATAGTAACCGCCAGGTGCAGGCAGATCTTCCACTACCTTAAGTACCTCCCCACCCTCCTCCACCCCCTTGTCCTTAGCTTAAAGCAAAACACCTTAGCTCTTCAGGCTGCCACTTGGAAAACATACTAATTAGAAGCACTAGACTGGGACCCCGGCAACTGGCAAAAATCTGTCCAGTTTCGTCGGATAAAACATGTGCTTGTCTTCAGGAATTGTGTTTGCTTTAAAGAGACAGTAGGGGTGTATTATCAGAACACAGAAACCCAGGGAAGTATGGTAGGGCTCTTGGAAATGAGTTAGCCCTCCCTCTAAGGGTGAATGTGTATTATCACAGTCTATGCTAAGCAGTTAGCCATCTGCAGAGAAATAAAAGACTGTCTATAGTCATGTGACTGAATGATTTAGATACATGTACAAAAGTGTCACTGAAAAAAATCTCAGTGATTTCATGGAGGCAAACCTAAAGCATCAGTCATTTAGAAGGCAGAAACCTAAGTCAATTGAACGATGCATGTTTTTTTTCCTGGGGAATTCTTAAACCTCCTTTGCCAATATTTTCTTCCATGTGGAGAAACAGCTACGACCAAACCCATGTAACCTCTCTATACACTCATTCCTCTATCTAGAGAATCACTTACCTGATTAGTGAGGTTGGATGAACAAACAGGTTGCACAGCCCAGGCCCTCTCCCTTCAAAGTTCTTGAACCAACCTTCCCTTATGGAGTACATGTTTACTCTGCCCTCAGGAGTGGGTCTACAAATAGATCCACAGCTCCTTTCCCTTTTCTGTGTCTCACTGGGTCCCAAACTATTCCTATGGTCTTGCTCTAGAATGACTGAGTCTTTAAGGGGCCTTGAAAATACACCCGTTCTCCATATCTTGACTCTAAACCAACTAAGAAATATGAAAAATAAGGTGAAAATACATCAACTTTATTCCTTCTAAAGGTGATATTGTAGAATGTGGTTCAGATTTCCACAAGGGAAGTGGTTTTCGTATTAATGAACCCCAGAACTGCACAGACTTATCCACCCAGCACTGCTGCATTGGGACAGTCAGAAAGGACCAGGACTGCAATGCATATGTCTCTGCAGTCTGGTGAAGGCATCCTATGTGTACTCAAGAAGAGTGGCTTCCTTGCAAGGCTATCCTTGTAGCAGGAGAAAGCGTTTCAGGACACCTTCTTTGAGAAACACTTCTTAAAATGAGTAAACACCCCTTGTTCTGACAGCGTACTCACCAAGGCACCTTCTGAGGATACAGTTTTCCACGTGTCTCAGGGAGCAGTTTGTAGCAATACCTCTCCATCCCTTCACAAGCATGACTGCAGTGGAGCCTCATCTGTGGAAAGGAATTTAGGAATAGATTTCTAAAATTCCAAGAGTATGATGAAAATCATACATCATGAAAATTTATCTTGGGAATCCAAGAAGGAATTGAGGAAATTTCAAAAACTATACCCACATATAAACCCACACACAGACTATAGCCAAAATTATAATGACATCCTATCAAACCTTCAAAGATCAGCAAATCCCTATCCTATCCAAAGATTACAGACTATAGAAAAAGAGAGTTCGGGCTTCCCTGGTGGCGCAGTTGTTGAGAGTCCGCCTGTCGATGCAGGGGACACGGGTTCGTGCCCCGGTCCGGGAAGATCCCACATGCCGCGGAGCGGCTGGGCCCGTGAGCCATGGCCGCTGAGCCTGCACGTCCGGAGTCTGTGCTCCGCAGCGGGAGAGGCCACTACAGTGAGAGGCCTGCGTACCGCAAAAAAACAAAACAAAACAGTGTATGCTACTGTTGCTAATATCACTGCTATGTTCCCAGAATCCTCGTGTCATTGTTTCCTTGTTGTCTCCACAGTACCAAAACTAATGGTTCATATATCCATTTCTGTTTAACAAACACTACCAAAACAATAGCAATTTTTTAATTTCTCAGGATAATGTGGGTTGACTGGGTTCAGCTGGCTGGTTTTCTGCTCCATGTGGAGTCTCACCTGGGGCTGCCATCAGCTGGAGGCTCCATTAGGCTGGTACATCTGAGAGAGCTCACTCACATGGATGAGCATTGGTTCTGGCTTCCGCTAGGGGCTCAGCTGCGGTTGTTGACTGGAGCACCTTGGTACCCCTCCAGATCCCTCCATGTGTAGGGTTACCAGATTATATTTAAACCATTTAAATTTGAATTTTAAATAAACAAAAAATCCTTTTTTTGTGTAAATTTGTCACATGCAATATTACTTTGTTCATCTGAAATTTAAGTTCAGCTGGGCATCCAGTATGTTTATTTGCTAAATTTGGCAACCTTAGGGGAGGAGCCTGTGAATCTATAACATTAAGGACAGACCTTCTGAGGTGACCCTTCCACTGGGACTGGTCTGGAAAAAAGAAGAGTTCATATATGGCAATAAAGACAAAAGGTGTTAATAACTGATGCTGGTGGAATGAAGGGGAAATGGACACTGCCACACACTATTGGTGCCAAATGGGCATATCTGTTTTTTAAGGCCCATAGTATCATGGCTGAATAACTTGAATGGCTTTTGATACAGAAGCCCTCTTTCCATCAACAAGGGAAATTCATATGAGGGTTTAGAAAAAGATCCCCAAGGTGATTCTGACCTGCAATCTGGTTAAGGGGCCCCAACTGAAGGGGTGCGTGAGGACCACATGAGCTCTCTGATTGATGGAGGAAAGAGCTACTATTTATGAAGCAGGTTGTTTAGAGGGGCCCAGATCTAGGTTCTTCATGTTAGTGACTGGATTTAATCTCGCAACAGCCCCACTAGTGATGTATCACTATCCTCTCTTCATGGATGTGTGTGACTCCAAAGCAAGTGCTCTTAAGCACAGAGACAAATGGCAAAGAGGCTGTTTCCCATGCCAACTGCCAGAGCCAGGGGTGGGACCTGGCAACCTGGTCACCTTTAGTTGCTGGTGGCAGAGCTTTAGAAAAGGTATCAGGACATGTACTGCTGAGGTGGTTAATCTCTGTTCTCCCTGTGTTAACCCTCCCTGCCGCAGGAAGCCAAGCCTGGTGTTCCTTCCCCCTGCTGCGTGGGAGGTTTGTGACCAGGCTGGAAGCAGAAGCTGTCTGAAGCCAGTGTTTCTTCTGTCCTTTGTGAAAACTTATGGAAATGATTAGGCTGCTTGTACCTGGTAGGGAGGAAAGGGCATCTGAGGACACAGAGAGGGAAGGGAGATTTCTCCCAGAGAGGGATGAGGGTGGTTTCATGGATGGTCTATCAAGCCTGGGCATCTAATCATGACAGATTTTCTAGTGTGGATCTAGGGATGTATGGAGCAGGAATGTAATCCTATAATTTAAACATTTCTTTTAATTTATTTATTTATGTATTTATTTATTTAATTTTTGGCTGTATTAGGTCTTCAATGCTGCGCGCGGGCTTTCTCTAGTTGCGGTGAGTGGGGGCTACTCTGTGTTGTGGTGTGTGGGCTTCTCATTGCAATGGCTTCTCTTGTTGTGGAGCACTGGCTCTAGGCATGTTGGCTTCAGTAGTTGTGGCATGCAGGCTCAGTAGTTGTGGCTCACGGGCTTAGCTGTTCCAAGGCATGTGGGATCTTCCTGGGCCAGGGCTCGAACCCATGTCCCCTGCACTAGCAGGCAGATTCCTAACCACTGCACCACCAGGGAAGTCCTTATTTAATCCTATAATTTAGATAAGGGTAAGAAGTTAGGAGAGGTGAAGTAAATCAGGGGAACTGCTTTGGACACCTGCTCAGTACGTGAGCTTGAAATTACTCTAAAGCTTTTCCCATTGTATCCTGAAGCCACCAGGGCTCTAAATGCTCTAATTTCTCTGGACATTGGCATTCAATGCTGTCCAAGGTATTGCTTAATTTATTAATAATGACCTATATTACTTTTTTTTTTACTGAAGTATAGTTGATTTCCAATGTTGTATTAATTTGTGGTGTACAGCAAAGTGATTCTGTTATAGATATATATACATATATTCTTTTTCATGTTCTTTTCCATTATAGTTTATTACAGGATATTGAATATAGTTCCCTGTGCTATACAGTAGGTTCTTGTTGTTTATTTTACATATAGTAGTATGTATATGTTAATCCCCAACTCCTAATTTATCATTCCCTCCCCACCCCTTCCCCTTTGGTTACCATAAGTTTGTTTTCTATGTCTGTGAGTCTGTTTCTGTTTTGTAAGTAAGTTCATTTGTTTCATATTTTAGATTCCACATATAAGTGATATCATATGGTGTTTGTCTTTCTCTTTCTGAGTTCACATAGTATGATAATCTCTAGGTCCATCCATGGTGCTGCAAATAACATTATTTCATTCTTTTTTTGTGGCTGAGTAGTATTCCATTGTATATACATACCACATCTTCTTTATCCACTCATCTGTCGATGGACATTTAGATTGTTCCCATGTCTTGGCTATTGTAAAGAATGTTGTTACGAACAGTGGGGTGCATGTATCTTGAATTAGAGTTTTCTCTGGATATATGCCCAGAGAGTGGGATTGTTAGATCATACAGCAACTCTATTTTTAGTTTTTTAAGGAACCTCCATACTGTTTTTCATAGTGGCTGTACCAATTTACATTTCCACCAATTTAGGATTTATGGAGATCTAGGGAGAAAGTGAATATGAAGATGCAGTTGAATGGGTTTCCAAAAGCATGGTAAACAGTGGAAAGTCACAGCAAAATATGACATTGACAGATGGAGTTTTCAATAAAGTAGCTATAGTAGTTATCTATGTAGATTTCAGTATAGATATAATGCATAAGGCAAATGTAATGTAAAGGGGAGAGGGTAAGGGGATCTATTAAGGTGAGGTTTCTACATATCAATTGAAGTGGTAACATAATGATTCTGAGTATTGATTC